GCATGACTCATGCTATGTGAGGAGTAGAGAGATCAGTTTGATGTATATAGAGGAATTCAAGCATGCACTCTGAACTGTGAGACATAGAGCCTATACAGAAAATTTTTTGTTCAGAGAGCACTTCACTGTATGAGTAACTCTAGAACTTGCCCTGTTTCTAACTTGAAATAGTTCATGGTTTGTAATGTAGAGTTTATTGAGGCATTTTTCTTTTGAACCAAATTTTCCTATTGCATGGAAGCCTTAAGCCTAAACTTGTTGTGATAAAACTAAAAGCCCTGCACTTATTCCAGATCCTAAGTTTTCAGATTATGTGTTCAGATAAGGGGTAAAGGATGAAAGCTCTGTTGGAGAAAGGTGTTTCTGCAATGAATAAAAATATTAAGTGTTAAGTGTTGGAAATCTGGAGAAAATGAAGAATGAAAAGGAAAAAGGAAGTAAAGGCACAAAGTGCTTGGTTTGGAAAAGGAAAAGAAAAAGGAAATGAGGAAAAAGGGAAATCAAAACAACACAAAGTGTTGAAAGTTGGAAGAAAAGGAGGAAGGAAGTTCAAGAAAAAGAAAAGTTGTAGAAAAGGTGGTGAAAAGAGTAAATGAAAAGGAAGAAGAGAATGAGAAGGATTAAGGAGTACATAGATAAATTCAATAGTGATCATCCTCTTATCTGAATCTGATTCATCTATCTAACCTTCTGCAACATCAAATCCTACCTTAGCCAACTACGTGCCAAGCCATTTTCCTAATCCTATACAGAATCCTATCCCTAGTCAAGTCATACCACCAAAGCCTCTTTTGTTCTGCTTATGAATCACTGCCACTATGGAAAGTGAGAAGATGGGCAAGCTTATAGTAGTTTGAGTGCACTGGAGATTGAGTGATGAGTACACCCTTAGACACTAGAGTGCAAGAGAGTTTATTCTCACAATTTTTGAGAAGTTCCGAGTGAGGGGGTGTTTTGTGTTGAAAGTCTCTGCATTTCATCTTACTGATCTGTTGAAAGTCATGTGATGAGGTTAAGCAAGTCATAGTAAAAGATAGATTGCTGGGTTGTTAGATTGTATCTTGGAAAGTTGATCTGTCATATTTCAATCCAACCTCATAAATTTCATGTGTAAAGAATCTCAAGTCTTTCTCTGTCTTTAAAGTTATTGTTGAGGACAACAATATTCAAATCTGGGAATTGTGATGAACCCTTAGTTCATCATGGTTTTTAGCAGGAATTAGGATCAAATTGTGTGATTAAATGATGAAAAACAAGGTCAATGTCCTAAGATGTCCTCAATTACAAGTTCAAGAGCTTTATTGGAAATTTGTATGATTTTTGTAGGAAAAGCAAGCTTGAAAGGCAACTGGAGAAGGAAGGAGATTTTGGAGCTCAAGAGGAGAAAAAATTGCCTAAGTGTTGAGCGCTAAAACGTCCACACTAAGCGTTTTAGCGCCCTGCTACAGGAAGAGGCCAAAACTTGCTGGTGATGAGCGCTAAAACGCCCACACAGAGCGTTTTAGCACGTTGCTGCACTTAGAAGATGGAAAATTGCTGGTCTTGGGCGCTAAAACGGCCTGCAATAAGCGTTTTAGCGCCCTGAAGTGGAAAAAAGACCCTGGTCTCCACCGCTAAAACGTCCAAATCTAGAGTTTTAGCGTTGGAGTCAGTTAAAGTCAGTTGAGCATTCACCAAGTTTGGACGCTAAAACGGTCATTTCTTAACGTTTTAGCGTTGGAGTCAGTTAAAAGCAGTTGAGCATACGTAAAGCATGGACGCTAAAACGGTCACTTATGGACGTTTTAGCGCCCACATCAGTTTTCTGTTTTTAATTGTAACACTATAAAAGGCAAAGCCTTCACACTTAGAAAAGGATCTCTGATCTCTGGATCTGATATATTCTCTCTCTCTCTCTTAAACTTTAGTCTGACTTCTCTCTAAATTCTCTTAGTGTTTGTAGTAGGATTTCTTTGTAATAGTTTGGAGATTGAAGACTTTCAACATGGAAATGAAGTTTGATTCTTCTTCTCTTGTCTATTCCTTAGTCATGTCTGAGTAGAGTCTTTGTAGTCTGAATGCAATAGAACTCCATGATAATATTATGTTGATCTGATTAATATGATGAAGTATTTTTCATGTGTTGATTTGAGATTTTCTGATTTAATTATTTCTATCAAGGAAGTAGTGTAGAACATGGATGTTTATATGACTTCTGTATCTGATAATCTCAACATCAGAATTCTAGTACTCAAGGGATTGATGCTAGAGTTCTGATGTAATCTTAAGACTTTAGTATGTCATGAATGTATTAAGAAAGAGATCACCAAGGGATTGAGGTTTCTGATTAATGTATCTATCAGGGTAGTAAGGGATTACATCTTGATGATAAGTAAAAGGTTGATTAACATCACATGGAAAAGAATTCATCATATGATCAGTTTTTACATGGGTTATTATGGAGGAAAGTTATTTTCTGACTACTTGTTGTTTTATTAATTCTTAATCCATATTTATTTTGTGTCAAATCACTTACAATCAATTTTCTGGTGACAAATTATTCATGACTTTTACAAATTCTTATCTGATTCAAATTAGTTTTCTATGGTTTATTGGTGCTTGAACACAATTCCTCGTGGGAACGATCTGTACTCATCATTTTATTACTTGTACGACTAGTGCACTTGCTAAACGTCCAACATGCACATCTCTCATATTCATCGTGAAGGAAACAGCGTGGCTAATTGGCTTGCCTCCTATTCTTATGAGTTTAATTGGCAGACTCAAGTATTTGTTGATTCTCCACAAGTGTGCCTTGGCATACTATTCTATGACTCTATAGGAGTAGGGTGACCCAGAGTTTGTAGCTAGTTTTTGTTTTTGTTTTCATGTTAATTTCCAAAAAAAAAAAAAATTATTTTTGAGGAAGAGGCTAACTATAAGTACTAATAGTCTATTATTATTAAAAAAGATCATTTTATATATAAAAGAAGTTGTTTTTCTCCTATTGCAAGAGAATCAATATTCATATATAAAATAATAAAAAAAATTAAAATTTAAGGAGAGACGAACTCCTTATCCTTTTTCTAGATCCACCCCCGCTTCCGGAGCTGTTTGGAGCGAGAAGATTCAACTATTCCGCACGCTTATGCTTTTGTACTGGACTACTGGTAAACTACAATGATTAATTAACATCCAAATCACAATGATTTTCTACCCTTCCCCCTATCCAATTATTCCTTCATGAGAATGGGTCTCGTAATCAATAGACACCATGCACATATATACCTCACTTACTTTGACCAAAACGAAAGTGGGGAGCATGATACTGAATGATAGCAACGCATATTGGACACTCGTCCATTCCAAATGAAGCTTGGTAGTGAACCATTCACAACCACTCTTAATGTCACATTCACCGCCATAAATTGAACCTAAACGACCAGAAAATTCATTGTTAGCTACCACATGATTCCACCTAAAATTGCTCCATATATGCAAAGTTAGCCCCCGCTTGGACAAATACCAAAAAAACTATTTGTTTTTTGTACTTTTTCCATTGGTGGGAGAAAAAGCTCCACAATTGGTGTTTTATGTCGCATTATTAATTTGTAAAGGAGAGAGCAAAGAATGTTATAAAATTAAAATGAGGAAAGAATCAGCAAAATGGCATCAGTAACACCAATAAGATCCAAATCGAACAATACATAATCGATGTTTGGCAATATCCACGTCTCTGTCTCACCAAACAATTTCCATAACTTACCAATCTTCATTTTCAGATTCTATTATAAGTAAAAGTCAGGCAAACAAATTTTTACAAAAGTTCTTATAATAAAAAAAAACCAAAAGTTAGAAGCTTCTTCAAAGAGTTTTTTTTATAAATTATATCAGCTTTTTTTGAAATAAATAACTTTTGGAAAAATGTGTATTATTTTAAAGGATGTAAAATTGTGACATTTTAAGTGAGAGAAAGAGATAAATAAAGGAAGAGAGAGTAGACAAAAAATATAAAGGTGTGAGTCCCACCTCTTTATGAGAGTGAAATAATATAAATTGTATCATTTAAAAGGACAAACACTTTTCCCAACTATTAAACTAAAATTTTTATATAATCATCAAACAACTTATATATTTATTTTTAAAGTTTTTTTTAACTTTAATATAAAAGTAGATTTTAGCTTGAAAAAAATAGGTACTAAACAGGCTATTTCGGTTGAGTTATAAATTAAGGGCATGTTCGGAGCACCTGATAAAGAAGATAGGATATGATAACTTATCATAGTCTACTTTTATCTCTTGTTTGGTGGGTCAATAGAATATGATTAGCTTATCCTATTGTCTCATTTTATCTTATCCAATACATGATTTCTTATCCTATGAGGGAGCTGAGTTAGGATTCAATAGGATAGGATATCAATATTGGATACCCAATATATCCCCACGTACCCAATGTATTTGTATTTATTGCATTATATATATTTTTTTTCCTCATTTCTCCTTCTCATAATCTTATCAGATTGCTAATTAGGTGTTCATTAAACACAAAACATGATATAGGCTTGTCAGCCTCATATTATTTCTTATCCTTATCAGCCTCATATTATATCTTACCCTTGTATCATATCCTATCCTGTCCACCAAACAAGATAATCATCAAATTTAAAATTTTAGCGGGCAATAACGATGAAAGTGGAAGGTTTACGCAAAAGTACGTATCTTGTAACGGAAAGATAAACACTTAATTAATGTGATAGAAAACAAGATCATATCTTGTGACCGAAAGATATGTGCACTTATTTTATTTCGTATTGAATTATCAATAATTGACCAAAATATATCAAAGAGTCTTCGATCTTCCGTGATTAAAAAAAGTTTAAGCAGCAACAGTCCAACAACAGGCCCATTTTATTGACATGGCAGTGAAGAGGCCCAGTACCATAAACGGACGGGCCCAATCTTCTGGCCCGAATTAAGCGGTAGGTAATTCGCCTGTAACGCTTCGTCTACGAGACCCGCTTCTCGGAGAAGGTGAAAAGTGAAAACCTATGTGTTTGTTTATGTGAGAGTCTGAACCTGAGAGTTGGAGGGTAAGTGCTTCTTCAATGGCTTCCTCCATCAATTCGAAATCAGAAAAGAATAAAACCAAAAACCGAGAAACCTCTTCAATTGGTAGTAAAACGAAAAAGAATAGAGACTCAGAGAAGGAGAACGAAAAGAAGAAGAAGAATAAGAAACTCAAGCTCAGCAATGGAAATTCGAAACGACCAGAGCAGCAAGAAGCTGAAGAAGACAAGACCGTTGTTTCCAATGGAAGAACTAGTGGTACGAAGCCTAAGAAATCAAAAGGAAAGCAACGCGAGCACGAAGAGGAAGAGGTAGGCGAAGTCGAAGGCGGAGAAGAAGACGCGAAAACGAACGTGTTTCCGATGAATCGTATAAGGACGATGATTAAGGGCGAAGATCCTGATTTGCGTGTTTCTCAGGAAGCTATATTGGCCATCAACAAAGCTGCGGTGATTTTTCTATTCACGGCATTTTCAGTTTCTATTTCACTTTTTCCTTTTCTTTTCTTCTTCAGCATTTGCTTTTCCCTTGCAGGAGAAGTTCCTTGAACAATTCACTCAGGACGCTTATGCTTGTTCTGTTCAGGACCGTAAGAAATCTCTCAATTACAAGCACCTATGTAATGTCTCTCTCATTCTCTATCCGAAGTTTTTTTTTTAACTATACTTGCACTAGCTGCTAAGTATGCTGTTTTTTTGGTATGATGTTAGTGAAGTATGTGAATGCCTTCTTGTATAATACGTTTGAATTTTTGATTAGTGTGTGAGTTCAATGAAGTTCGAAACTAGGTTATATTGGCAACTGGATCCACTATTTGCTGTAATGAAATTAGGGTTATTTGAAGGCCTTCTTCATGATTGGAGTAAATAAAATTTGTAACTGATTATTTATCCTCCGTTTACATTTATAAATTATATCTCTAGTTTGGGAACTCAAGGGTTAATTTATTTTTTTGCTTAATATTGGTTGAAAGTTGAAGGCTTGTAAGTTATTAGGATTATAATTATGATTTGTACCTTTTTTTATATGTACTTTGAAGATAACTGCTTGACTAGAATTCCCAAGTCATTTAATGGTTACACTTTTTGAGGTGGATAATGGATGGGTGAAATGAGCCTTTGAAAGGACTGTAGCCTTTAAGAAAGGAATATCATACTGGTCTCGTCCTGGTACAGTGAAACTCACATTCTAGAAGCTATCCCAAATCAAATCTAACAAGTTACCATTCGCCGGCTGTGGCGCATAGTGATTGACCCAAAAAATGCTATAGCATTATAGCCGATACAATGAAGTTCTGACACGTGTGTTAGAAAATACTGGAGCTGAACAGAAAGCAAGAAAATATTGGAGTCTTGCTGGAAATCTGAATTAAAAAGAGAGGCAGAGAGCTAGAAATCTATTCTGAAAGAGGGTGTTCTGATTATTAGAGCAAGAAATTTGTTGCTGGAAAGCCTCAAAGCAGAGGATAAAATACTGGAGTGGGTCGAGATAAAACAGAGGCAAGGAACCTTGCTGCAACAGAGTCAAAGCAAGCTTGCTGGAAAACTGAGCCTTGCTTCAAGGAGCTTCCTGAAGAACCGTCAGAAAGCTGAGCCTTGCTGATGGGCTTGTTGGAAAGTGAGCCAAAAATGAGTGAAGAGAGGCAGGAGTGGAGAGTGGGAAGAGAGAGGGGAGTTGAGACATAGGGTTCCAATATTATCGGGAAAAAGGGTAAAAGGTCAATTATACCCACCATAATATGTGCACGGGAAAAGGGTTACACATGAGCAAATATGAAAATATAGCACTGTGATTTGGGCTGCAATTGCAGCGATTATGCATAGCAGAAATACCACCTAGGTGCTGCTACATGCATTTGTAGCGCCATAGTTATCAAATGGGGGTAAAAGCCGACCCCCGAATTGTTATAGTGCTAATTAATTATAAAGTATCTTAAGAGTAGTATTAACTAATTATCTTCATTAGGAGTTAACTAATTGTAAAATATTTGTACACTGGAATACATTAATTATTGTACAAGTTCTTCGTGAGAAAATATCATCATTTGTACAAATATCCTAAGGAGTTCACAAAGGAGTAGTATTAACAAATATGGCAGAAAAAAGAGAGAGAATAAATCAAGGGGAGAAAAAAAAGGAAAGAAGAGAACTAGAAAAAAATTAGCATATTGAAAAATGGGGTTGAAGATCAAAGAGGACCTGAAGGTCTGGAACTGAGAGAATCGTCGGAAATGAAAGTGGAAGCTAGTCATTGGTTGCTAGGGTTGTCGCAAAGTGAGAGAGTGCGTTGAGATGTTCATACTTAAGATTAAAGATGGGGTTAAAAGACCATTTAACCCTTAAAATATGATATTTGGGACTTTAAATTGAGGGCAAAAATGGAATCTTACACTCCTCTATAGCGACACTATTGCATCACAATTTGGCTGCAATAGCCGCTGTTACAACCGCTACCGTGAATTGTAACATGACGGCACAACCAATAGCAGACGGTAGCCACTGCTCGCTACAGTAGTGCTATAGCCTGCAAAAGTAGTGCATTTGATAACTTTGTGTAGCGAGATTGTAAGATATAGCAGCGCTATTCATAACCTAGAATTCTAATAATAGTAAGTATTGAATATCTCTCCAATTTATGTGAATTAAGAAACATTTAGGTAAATCTCTCTTCTTGAACCATTTCTCATATTCATTTCCGAATAGTTATCAACCCATTCACTTATGAGTTATGAATATCATCAACCCTCTCTCCAAATTCTGCACACACCCAACTTGTAAATGCGGGATGCTACATTTGGCCACAACAATGCATTCAGGACCATCACTTGGTTTAGGAAACCTATATTTTGATTTTCATGTAAAAAGATAAACTAATCAATTTATGTTTGTGATTAAGATTAAACTAATATTAAGCTAGGCTTAAATGGTATAGATGTATGGTACAAATTGTTCAACTTCATCAGTGCCAAGGAATAGCGAAGGGAAGGGTAAATTATTTTCTAATGTCTGCCATTGCTCGATTTTAGAATTACTGTCCTTCCAAGCTATTGCGAAGATTGCCTTCTCTTTCCCCACGCAATATGAAGGAAACATTTATCCTGAAAAGAAAAACAGCAAGATTCCAGAGAAAAGTCACTAATCTAACCCATTAATTTGGCACCAACTTTTGATTCACTCCAAGCCTTTGGTTTCATTAGTTTCTTACTTCAATCTCTTTCAATAAGAGCAAAAGTGAGAGGGAGGGTGACTTCAAGAACTCGATTGTAATGGTTGGCAGTGTTAAAATGTAAAATATTAACCACCATAAGATTTTATATGTACGTAGGGCCTATATGGGTTGTAGATGTACTACTTTTTATGTCCATTGGATTTGATACTTGTCCATGTTTGTGTGTATGCTTGCTTGTTCATTGAGACCATTAAATGCTTTCCAATTACTTGACTACACACCTGCTTTTCATTTCAGCATATGTTGTTAGTAAGCAGAGGAGATATGACTTTCTTTCAGGTAATTTCTTATCCCTGTTGAAATGGTATCCAATTCCTATTGGAATATTTTAAGTTTACCGTTTCCTGTATTCACCTTATTCCAATTACAAGGTTGTCTACATTGCTTTTGCTTGTCCAGATTTTGTTCCTGAGAAAATGAAAGCTGAGGATGCATTAAGAGAGAGAAATTCAGGAGGGAATGGAGGAGATTAGAAAATAAAGCAATGCTAGTGGAGAATCTAAGTTTATACATTTTTAATCTTGTCAAATTTTGTTATGGAAACTTGTATCATGGTGAGTAATGTACTGCTTGTTCCTGAGACTGTGAAAGCTGAGGATGCATTAAGAGAGAGAAATTCAGGAGAGAATGGATGAGGTTAGAAAATTTAAAGCAATGCTAGTGGAGAATCTAAGCTTATACATATTTAATTTTGTTATGGAAACATGTATCATGGTGAGTGATGCACTGCTTTACATTTCCATAGTGTATTTATTTTCTCCCTTCTCTTTAAAAGTCCCATTCACATATGGCTAGATTTTTTTTTCCCCAGTAACTATGCATACTTAATGCTTGGCTTTGCTTTGGTAGCATGCTGCAACTGTTATATTGCTTCTTATTTTGAAAATCTTGTAACATATCTGTGGTTAATTTGCTGATGTAAAGATAGAAAGCATTCATTGATTTACTAAGTACAGGATGGAACCAATGCTTAAGCTATGTTTGGATACTTTTCTGTGGAGGGGAAGAGAGTGGAATGGAAGGGAAAGGAAGTAATGGGATGGAGGAGGAGTATCCCTTCCTTTGGATGTTTAAGGAAAGAAAAGGAGGGAAACCTTCTTCCCCTTGCTTGAGAGTTAAAGTTAAATTAGAGGTAATGAGAGTTACTCCCCCTTATTTAATTTCAAAAACCCTTTCCCATTGCTCCTGCCCACCCTGCCAGTTCAAAGGCTTTGAGGGGGGAAGGAGTAGGAAGAAGTGGTTTTAGTGACCCTTCTCCTGGTTCAGCTGGTTCCCCTTTTTCACTTGCTCGGTTCCTCACTCCTTTCCCCTCCTTAAAAACTGGAAAACTGTGGTTTTGGTGACTTCCCCCCTCTCTTGTCCCTCTCCTAAATTCTCCCATTCAGACATAGCATTAATTTTTGTTTAAAAAAAAAAAAAAAGACATAGCATTAATTTTTTGGTTTCCACTAATTTAAAAATGAGTTAAATTGCTTTTTTTGATGCTATACATTCCTTTCTTCTGCCTAATATTTGTATCTTGGTCATAAATATTTGCTTGGTGCTTTGGATGGCTATATGGTCATTTTGAGGGTCACAGTAAGAAACTACATTTGAGCATGGAATAAAATATATGACTTTCTTTCCCTTTCCGAAATTGGCATTTGGCATGTTTGTATGTGCTGCATGCGTCGTGGGCATAAACCAGTATTCTCCACCAGGTGTACACTGTACAGCTTTAGCAGGTATTAGTACAGTTGTCTTCTAGAGGAGGTTGCTTAGGAAGGTGTTGCTAAATGTTTGGATTAGGATGCCAAGATATGATGCTGCAATCATGTAGAAACACTTTCACATCTTCCATGTTTTATAAGCCTTCTCACTTCATGCTGCATGCACTTAGAAAGGCCCATTGCAAGCTGCAGCTTCTTTCAGGTGTCATTTTTTGAGTTAAGCAAATTCTATTTGTAGCTCTTGAACAGCATTTGATAACGCCAGGAAGTACAGAAGATGCAGATCTGAAGCATAATCTGTTAGTTGGTTCAGCCAAATTTTAATGGCTTCAAACTCATTTGAGTTTCAGATTCCTCTAGAAATGAGTAGATCATAATCCTTTGTTTGGAACCGTCAATTTTCCAGCATTGGAAAGCTCATTTTCCCTTTATGTATCACAAGAAGATGAAAATACATTTTTTTTTAACTTGTGTTTTTTGGTCTGTGAAAATTTCATATTCGTTGATAAATCAGAAAAGTGGTCTACCTAGATATGACTTCCTCTATTCAAGGAGGAAGAAAGACTCAGAAAGCAAACCCACCCTCTTCATAACTTGAAAACTCAGCACTCTTCTGAACCACCATTCTAGGCATTCTAAAGAACGACAAAATTGATTCCCATGTAACATGCAGAAACCCTGTGACTGAACCGGTTTTATCTAAATTTAGATGGAATCCCTGTGAACTCTCATTTATATGTTTCTATCTGAAGTATTGGCTCATATTGAGCCTGCAATCAAAGCTACGTTGACATTCCACCGGCAGCCAAAAAAAGTTATCTAAAGAACCAATTCAACCTAAAAATTTAAGTTGTTGAGTGAGGTTACATTATTGATTTTATATATCTTAATACGCCTCTTCATACGAGAGTCCACTGGGCTTGAAGGATGGACAATGCACATGTCTACCTATCTGTGCGAACAAAGAAATTTCACTTGAAAGAAAGTGGGGGGTGACGAGGATCTAATCCGGGACACGAGGCTCTGATATCATGTAAAGAATTAATTCATCCTAAAAGTTTAAGCTTTTGGGTGAGGTTACATTAATGATTTTATATATCAACAAGGGCAATGGAGACTGTGGTCTAGATTGTGAGATTTTTAAATGTCAATAGTGATGGTTATTTCTATCCGAAATCCAGAATGCAGAGCAACTACAACTTGAAGTGGACCTCTCAACAGCTCTTGCAAGCCATGGAGATGATCAAATAATTATATGTGAATGAGTTACCACAGCAGAATAGTCGATACTGTGAAAGATCTGGTTGAAGCAAGTATCTGTCGTGTTAGTTTTAGGAATCATATCTGCTGGTAATTTTAAAATATATTCAAACTCTTAAATTCGTTGGTGTTTCCTGCGATGCACGGACATGCGATTTTTTAAAAAAAATTAGTGTCGGACATGTGTCGGAAACCGACACTTGTCCGATACGCGGTCAACATTTTAAGACACGTGGTCAATGCTTTGACACGTTCTGACATGCTTTTTTGACACGCAGTCAATTTTTTTCTACACGCGGTCAACGCTCCGACACGTATCCGACATGTTTTTTGTTTTTTTAGAACTGAATTTTATTTTATTAACTAAACATAAAAACATAATTTATAAATCAATTTTTTTTTTCTGTTATGAAATTTGACTTGAAAAATTTTAAAAAGGTACGAAAAATTATTTTTGTTTATATTTATGTTATAAAATTTGATTACTTGATTGATTATATGACTTATTATGGACTATTATATGTATTAAATATAAATTATATTATATATATTAAAAATATTATTTAATATCAAAATGTGTCCCAACACGTCGGAATATAATATTTTTTAGAATTAATGTGTCAGCGTGTCATATTTCGTATCCTATATTAATTTCGGTGCTCGATGGCTATGTATACACGTAGGAGCCCCATAATATATGATTTTGAATATCAAGTGCGACAAAAGTAAAAAAACTTTGAACTCAGATTTAAAATAGCCATCGTCCATTTTGCACGGAATTGCATTCATTCAACATTCTTATTGAAAAGGATATCATCTGATAAAAATTTATGGTAACAATCTTCTTTATAGAAACTAGACAAAGAGAGAATTTTCTCTCGGCTCAAACTAGTACATGCAATCATTTGTTAAACCGTCGTTCTTCCCCAGCAAACGTTATAATCAAACACGTTGGTGAAAAGTAGCACTAGCAATGCATCGTAGGTCAGAGGCTGACATCCCCGGGATTGATCCAGGTAAACCTACTCACGTTACTCACTCAAAATTAATGTATCATCAAACATCTTTCTATATCGTCTTGCAAAAGTCAATTAGGGAATTGTTACTTAAGATAGTGGCAAAGCTCTTGTTTTGCTACTTCTGAAGAATTACAACTTGCAAGTGAATGTTACGCAATCGTACTCATCTTTTTTTGACCCACTTAGATCTCACTATTTTTCCTGCCTTACCAAGCAATCCAACTGGCTAATACAGTAATGCATTTCCATTGACACACCACCTTTCAATAATACAGAAGCAGATATCCTAACAACTGAAGTTTCTACATAAACATTCCACCTAATTTTAAGAAAACCCCCTTTGGGGTTTCCATATATTTCCCTCCCTCCATATCACTCCCACATCAACCACACACCACAAGGATCACTCTTTCATTTTCCACTCCTTTCTCACCACCACCATCCCCACTGAATCTCAATCAACAGAAACAAAAGATGGTGATGATGAAGCACTCATTCTTCTCTCTCCCACTTCTTCTAATGATCTTTTGCTATTCCACCACCACATTAGCCCAGTCACCTGCTGCTGCCCCTGCCCCAACACCTTCATCACCCCCGACAGACATCATAAGAATCCTCAAAAAAGCTGGAGGTTTCACCACTCTAATCCGTCTTCTGCAGACAACCCAAGTTGCCACACAGATCAACGCCCAACTCTTGAACTCAAACGGTGGTTTAACCTTATTTGCACCAAATGACAATGCCTTCTCAAGCCTCAAACCTGGCTTCCTCAATTCCCTTAATGATCAGCAAAAGAACGAGCTCATCCAATTCCACTTGCTACCCACATATGTTTCCACATCAAACTTTGATACCTTGAGCAACCCAGTGAGAACACAAGCTGGTGAAAACCCTGATAGGTTGGCACTGAACATAACCAGTTCAGGAAACCAAGTGAACATGACAACGGGTATTGTTAACACTACACTTGGTGGTACTGTATACACTGATCACCAGCTAGCTGTTTATCAAGTGGACAAGGTGCTTCTTCCTCGTGACTTCTTCGTTGCTAAGCCTCCTGCACCAGCTCCTGCACCTGCAAAACCTAAGGCTTCTAAGAAGAAATCTGCAGAGGGTCCTGAAGCTGCAGCAGATGATGACTCTGCAGCTGTAATGAGTGTGAAACAGATGCAGTTGATGTGGGTTCCCATTGCAGTTGCTACAGTTGTAGTAGCAGCATTTTCATGATGATGATGATGAAAGTTTGAAGAAGATGAAGCTGCCAAGTAGGGTAAGATTGAAGGGGAAGAAATGGATCCACATTTTGCAGACTTGCAGTGCTTTTCAATAATTGTCTTATTTTCCTTTCTTTCCTTTTTTCTTTTTTCTTTTTCTTTTTCTTCTCTTATGGATAAGTCTTTCTGGGGTGAAAATTAAATTGGATTTATGAAGCCTTCATATCTTGTGAATTACGTATGAGAATTTTGTGTACTACAAGTTGCAATCAAAGAACTTTTAATAGAAAGATGGCACAAGTTTTGTTTACTTTTATTCTACCATTACCAGTTAACTCTCTACAAAAAATATATATTAAAAATGTGTATTTTTTTTTTTTTAAGATGTTAAGTACTTCTATTATTTGTTTAACATTATATACTTAAAATAATTAGCATGATGTTAAGAGGAATATTGAAGAGAATATAGCAACTCTTTACAAAAACTTAATTGTGCAAATCCAGAAAAAGGTGGCTGAATTATAAATAATATAAGCTCAATCATGAGGTAAATTAAACAGAATTAGATGTAGTTATGTTAGGCCTAGCTATGTGATTCTCCAAAAATTAGGTGTAAGCAATAATTTGATAGTTACATTTATTTTGTTGGTCATGTTGCAGAAAAATATCTTGTTAATATTTGAAATCGAAATTTCTTCTAGTTGTTATAAGTTGGGTTATTTAAAAAAACAATCAATAATAAGATTAAGTAAAGAAAAATATAGTTAGTCATCTTACTGTGAAAGAATAAACTATGACGTTACGTATAGCTTTAGAAAAATATAAAAACAATGCTAACTATATTATGTGGAATAACATCCCTGCCATAAATAAATAAATAAATTATCAATTTAGTGTTTTGAAAAAAAATTAGTTATAGTTTAGCTCTTGAATTTAAATATGTACAATTAGTCCCTAAATTTACAAACTTTATATCAAGTTAATTAGTCCTTTATAAGTCTTACATTCACAAAACAAATTTAGATGTTTCTTCCAATTAAACCTTATTAAAATAAGATTTTCATTTTTTTTCTTGAACAGTCTTATCCATTAACAGAATAATCATATTAAAGGTAATTTTGGTTGTTGTAAGGAAGAATAAGGGATCATAAATATTGAATGGAGACATGATAACTACAAATATATTTTTGGTTATACACTTCGAATCACTGGGGAACCTAGGTGGGCACTTATCTCAGCAAGTGCGTACATAAGATTTTGGATTTTTTTTTTTGTAGCTATGTAGATCTTTATTTGTCTTTTGGTTTAATGTTTATATTAAGAGTAAATATCATTTTAAGTTCCTAACAAAAAATATAGTTCCCACTTTAGTCCCTTATCAAAAATTAGTCTCGAGGAGGTCCTTAAAAAATTCAAAGTGGATCAATTTAGTTAAAATTGTGATCCTTCACAAATTCAAAAAAGACCTGCATTAGTCCCTCAAAAAGACTAAAATGAGTCCACTTTAAATTTCATAGGGACCAAGTGACTATTTTTTTTATAATGGACTAAAGTGGGGAGTGGAGTTTTTCTTAGGGACCAAAAAAGATATTTATTCTTATATTAGTTAGCAACGTAGCAATGTACAGAGATGATTAAAACAATGTAGCAAGACAAATTGAGTAGAGAGAAAACTTATTCTTCCACCCGTGTCACGTACCCACTCCCATAATTTCTTCATCCTTTGTTATGGAAGTAACTAGATTATGAGCGGTTCAAGCGTTAATTTAAACTTTATTTACAAAAAAATATTTCGGGGGCGCTTCCCCCGAACCCCCCCTACTAAATGTGCGGACATAAAGAATTTTTTTTGGATCTGCCATGCTTTAAATAAGGCCACCCCCTCCCCAAAAAATAAATAAAAGAAGGGCTTTCACTTCTCTTTTTTTTTTTTTTGTAATACATACATTTTTTTGTAATACGGGCTTTCACTTCTCTTATTGCATGAGAAGTTTGAAAGTTCCTATGGACAGTATAACTTGTGGTGGGAAGTCTTTTTCACATAGAAATCCAAAAATACAAACATTGCATACATCTACTTGTTAAAACAGGCCTCAGAATTTATATAGAGATCCGGTGTTACGCGGTGTAGATTGAGACCCATGGTTGAAGCAACACAAGCAAACTCGCATGGAGTTCATTACTTACTTGCATCTACCATGGTCCAAATACCCGGAAGGTGTCACGAGTCCAAAGAACATTAAGATTGACCCCTATGTCAATTGTTTAAGGTAAATAGAAAAAACAAAGGAAGAAAGCCAACCCCTAATAAAAGCAACACCTAAAGAATCATCCGTAAAACTTTAAAGGGTAGTTTAGTTAGCAATTCAATTTCCAGGGGTTTGTTTTGATCAGGGATTTAAATTTTAGCCAAAGTAAATTTTTGAAATTTTTTGGAGGTCAGAGAAAAAACTGTCTCCCCCTCAAAGGGGGATTAACCTTGCTCTTCCTTCTGTGACAATGGTCCAATGTAATACATTCTCTATTCCAACGAGGAGTTAGCTTTAAGAGCGGTACTTCAAGGACCGGCATGAGAAGGTTACGTGGAAATACCTCTAGATTATCTATCAGAAAAAAAAGAAAAAAAGAATCATCCGAAAAAATAAAAAATAATCAATAGGGCGGTGATGGGGAGGTTACTGCATCAGTGATGACTGATGGGGATTTGAAGTATAATCCTCAACTAGGGCACTGTAAGCCAGTAATGGCGGAAAGGATAGAATCTGAAGTTAGTTAACATCTTCATATGAGTGATTCCATATATGAATCACCCAAATTGCATCTATGGAATCAGACCCGCAAAAGATAGCCCCAAACTAACTCAAATTAATTAATTATACTTGGATTAACTGGAGGATCCAAATCCTTAAGGTTCTCTTTATATTGGAATTCAACGAGGAGAAAGTAAAGAAAAAGAAGAAGAAAAAGAAAAGGGTATGTTTATTGTTCCTAAAATGATAAAATATAAGTAAGGGACTAGTGTACTTCTTTTCGTTTCAGCAACCATATATATAGAGGTAGCAACATCTTTTTATTTTTATTTTTGTAGATTCGGTAGCAAAATCTTAACCTTCTATTGCTTCTAATACAGTGGTAAAGATTTGAACAACTTACCTACATAAGAGTTTTAAGCCTCAAGAAGATCTGGGTTAGTGGTAACTGAAGTGATGTAACACCTATGAAATCACTCATGGTTATGTGGTAGTTTTACGGTCAATTTTCTTGTATCATTAGTCGTTACGGTGTCTCTTTTTTCTTGCAGAATGACATGGGCCATTAGGGATGAAACTGGGTCGGGTCGGTCTACATGGGCTTACGGCTCGGCCTACAACAGGCTAGACCTGGCCTAGTATATTTTGTATAATAGGTCAGACTCGGGCCTTAAAAAAGCATGTTTAATAAAAAGGCCGTAGACCCACTTTTAAAAGGCCGGACCTATGAGCCTACAAGCCGACCTATATTGTATTATTTATTTTAAATAAAATAAAATAAAATAGAGTAAGTATGCCTTGAAAAAAAGAAAGATATAAATTTAATCAATTGCAATTATTTATAACTTAATCATATTCGATTATATTTTAATAGAAATCTTATTTTATTTCTTATATAGGAGGAACCAACATCTCAATATGTTAGATTGTGTATATAAATATATTAAAAGATTTTTGGTAGAGGTTATACTTACTACAAACATCATGATGTGTTTGTTGGATTCATGTAGTTATTTTAATTTACATAGTATGGATTTGTTTGTTGGATCTGATGAAATATATGTTATTTAATTTGAGCATTTTGTTTTTGAAAATGACTTAAATGCATATTGTATTAGTTTTGTTATGATTCATGATTCTGTTTGGACGTTGAAATTATAACTTTTGGTGTAGCAACAGAATTTTTGGTGTAGCAACAGAATTTGAGTACTTTGTAAAGTTGATTCATGGTTCTGCTTGGAAGTTAAAAATTAACAGGCTAACGGGCCAAGCCAGACCATTTGTTTTTTTTCATAAACGGGTCAAACCAGGCTAACAGTTAGACTCATACTAGGCTTGGGCTGGGCCAAATTAAAATTTTTTAACGTAAGCTTGGATTTTTCGGAACAAAGCTCGGCTCAGCCCAGCCCACTTTCACCCCTGCTGGCCATACTCGTGCAGCCTTGAGATAACTTGCTAGCCTTGGTGATTTGGACGCTCTAAACATTTTTAGGTATAATAAATATGGAAAATCATACTTTCATATGAGATTAATTTCTTATGATATACTCACATTAAAAAATATGTCTTTCTTTTTTCTTTTTTAAATTGGTAGACCCACTTTATTTGTCTCTCAACATTAAAGAATTTTTCTCCTATTACACAAGAGAAATAATCCCTAATAAATATTGAGAATAAAATCATCATCATCATCATCATCATATATATATATATATATATATATATAAAGAGTTCTTATTTGCATCATCACTTCATTTATTAAGAGTTCTTATTATAATTTTAACTTAATTAATCATCCTCCATATGAGTTTAGTCATGAAAGCTGTGGTTGTTGATTCATTATCCTACTTTTTGTACTTAGAAAATAATATCAGTTGATAATGTTTTCCATATTTGCATCACTCTCAAAAGAAACAAAAACACATCAATTTTATTAATTAAATAAATAAAAAGCTTCTGTTTGTTATTTTAAAATGTATGACATTTGTCTTGATTTGAAGAGGTGAGGCACATTAGATGAGTTGTTGATCCGCTTTATATTCAAGTGAGTCTTAATAAATCTTTGTAAGCAGAAGGACTGTTCTCCATAAGCTCATAATTTAGGTTCATTAGATATGGCCAAAATTTGTGCTATCCCGCGTACCTAGGGGTGAAAGTGGGCTGGGCTGGGCCAAGCTTTGTTCCGAAAAGCCCAAGTCTATGTCAAAAAATTTTAATTTGGCCTGGCCCAAGCCTAGTATGAGTCTAACTGTTAGCTTGGCTTGGCCCGTTTATAAAAAAATAAATGGTCTGGCTTGGCCCGTTAGCCTGTTAATTTTTAACTTCCATGCAGAACCATGAATCAACTTTACAAAGTACTCAAATTCTATTGCTACACCAAAAATTTCAACGTCCAAACAGAATCATGAATCATAACAAAACTCATACAATATGCATTTACTTCATTTTCAAAAACAAAATGCTCAAACTAAATAATATACATTTCATCAGATCCAACAAACAAATCCATACTATGTAAATTAAAATAACTACATGAATTCAA